AAAAAAAAAAAAAAAAAAAAAAAAAAAAATTAAATAAATTTGACAAAATAGGCTAGATATAAAAACTTAAATTATTCGATTAATAATACTTCTCTTCCCCTGCCTATTTAAATTTGTGTGGCTTTGGGCACTGCAATTTGGGTGGGTTGGGGGTTTTACTACCTTTTTGTTCTTTCAGTAACTTTGTGGCAAGCAGAGGTATTTCAAAAGATTCTTTGACCTTGGAACTGAGCCCAAATTCTTCTAGTGGGTTCTTGATACTTGTTTGTTTTTGTTGTGTTGATAATGATGAAAAGGAGGCCGGTTTTTCCCAACAACAAGCATTTTTAAAAGAAAGAGCTGATCTAGCATTTCTCCCTTTACTCTCTCAAATTGGTTAAATCTGTCAGAACTGCCACTGCTCAGAATCACAGCAAAACTATGGGACAGATTTTAATTACTGCCACTGTGCCACAGCGTATCCTGCCCCTCCAGGGGCCATCTTCACCCCGGGACCCTACTGCCTGCACTCCAGTTGTATTTGGAAAGCCCCACACTGCTCTTTCGGTTGTTAACGTAGCAGGATGTGGAGTCGAAATTTTCCAGTTGTTAGCCAAGCAGGACTGAAAACTAAGGACATGGATGAAATGAAAGCCCCATTATCTAACGACAGCCACCTCCAACTGGGGCTGGTCACTTCCCTCAACACCCCCCCACCATTACCCTAACAGAGGTGTATCACCACCCCCAGGTCTTGTAAAAGCAGAAGACAGGGAGGGCGACTGAGGTGTTGGCAGAATGGTGAGTCCTGCAGTCTCTCCCTTCTTCCTCTTTTCATGGGTTGAATGGTGCTTTCCTCTTCCCCAACTAGTCTCAAGAGGGGACATTTCAAGAGGTTCACCTGTGGAGAACAGAGGTGAAAGCAGCGGGCACCTGCCTGAGCCTCTGGGTGAGGAGAGCCAGGGGTGGGGGCCAGCCTGCCCTCCCACCGTGGGGAGTGGCAAAGCTGTGTGAGCTTGCTCTGGGCCCCAGATACTGTAGAAGGTGGCCAGGCTTAAGCTGCTTGGCCAGATTCTTGTGCACAGGGAATTGCTAGTTCTGGAAGCTGGGAAGGTACGGGAAGGAGAGGTCAAGCTGCACTCCATCTCCTGTGTCAGAGGATTGCGTGAGGGTGACTCAAGAGAGCCTGTATCTGGGCACATGCCCCATACAAGGAGGGCCCCAAAGGCCAGTCACTTTCAGCCAGAGACGCAGCAACGATTAGTGCAGGAGTACAGATCGTGCTTGGGTATGGAATGGAATTCCCCACCGCTTTAATCCTAACCCCTACTAATTCTCTGAGCTGGGGGTGGGGAGGGGAAGAGACTGACTTTTAAACTGAACTGGGCTTCAATAACCAAAAGAGAAGAAAAAGCAATGGCCTTTACCATTATCAAAATGTCACTAGAGGCAAGAAAGAATTTGAAGCAAAACGAAACAAAATCTTTCCATGTTTGTGTCCCACCGAATTCAGACTATTCATTAAAGCATTTTATTTAGACCTGGATTGAATGGGGAAAAGCAGTGTTAGAAAAAGAGGAGCTGGGGAAAGGGGGGTCTGGAGGAAAATGTTAAGGGGAAAGAGGGAGAAGGTGCAGAAGAAAAAGGGGAAGAGGAAAGAAAGGAGGGAGAAACACACGGAAGGAGGGAGGTACGTACAACGAGAGAAAACCACATGGGGCACAATGAGAAGAGGGAGAGGTGAAGAAAAAAGAGAGACAGAAAGATGCGCAGATTTTCTAGGGTAAGTCAGAGACCACATCCTATAGTTCCCCAGTGGCCTCCAGCGTAAGGTATCAACATCCTTTGAAATTCTGAAGAGCCACTGTTCACAGTTTTATATACGCTCTTTACTCGTCACCTCAGAGGCTCTCATCCAAATCAAGTGGTGATAGGAGCTGCATGGATGGCAATTATCTGATGGGCTTTGGAGAAGCTAAGAAAAGCAAAAATCATCCTCTGGACACAACGAAATCAAACTTAGGTCAGGTCTGGGGCCTCTACGATATCACCTTAAAGACCTACGAATTCCCAGAATGGCGCGCATTGTGAGATAATGCCGCGCCGTGGGCCTGCTGAAACACCTTACTTGGCCAGCAGGCTCATGAGGTAGGTTGAGGTGTTGGTGTCCAGTCTCAGGGGAGGCACCGTGACGTAGGCGGCTGCATGGGACCAGTCCTGGTGGTAGTAGTGTAAGCCCGTCAGCGTGGCGTGCGCGGTGGTGGTCTCGGCCAGCACGACCTTCCCTGAAAGAAGAGGGTTCAAACCATCACCAGGAGGCCAGTGAACCTGGGAGATCGTTGGTCTGAGCCTCTCATGGGGCAGGTGAAGGAGCAGAAGTCAGAGAAGAAGGGACTTGCCCGAGCTCAACTGGGCATTTGAGGGCACAGCTGGGGTCAGGGTCAGACTGTTCTCTGTCCCCGTGCTGATTGCGGGCAAGAACAGAAGGATGAGGGCGCCGAGGGGGGGCAGCACTTGTCTGTTTTCTGAGCAGGCGGCTGCTGGGAGCAGCTTCAGGAGAATACTGGGGGTGGCACCGTCGCAGGGGATAGAGGGCAGGGAGACGGAGGTGGGAGGCTGGAACAACAGCGCAGGAGACACGGCGAAGGGGGTCCCGCTGAAGGAGAAGCAAGGGGCAGGATTTGGAGGGCAGTGTGGTGGGAAGGCTGAAAGCCCTTGCTCCCGGTTTATATTCTCAGGTTTGTAACCGTGACCTGTTTCTCCTGTTACTGGGCTCTCACTGGCACCCCGAGCCGGACTGGGAGTACAAGCACGTACAAAGCCTTCAGGTGCTGCCAGGTGCTCCGACACACAGGTGCCCTGGGGCTGGTACACTGGGTTCCTGAAAGGGATGCTGGACCCTCACAGTGTCGTTTCTCCAGGGACTTCCCAGGCATTTCCCCCCTGAAATGCCTGTTGGAACTGGTCCAGGATTTCATGTTGGTTACCAACACAACCACTAGCAAAACCCAAGAGACTGAAAAAAATACCAGCTAATGAGTTGATGGAAAACTTGGAAAATTTTACTGGACCCAGGAGAGGCGACGGACACTTCTGTAAAGCTGTTATGCAAACAAATGTGCAGAGGAAAACACTGGTGCTAATGCACTGAACCCAGGCCAGTGCAGGGTGCTTGTGAGGAAGACAGCCAGAGAGGAAAGGGAAAGGCAGGCTCAGGGCCTGGCCCCAGGAGCCGGGCTGGGAGCTCCGGGCATGGAGCTGCTGGGTCCCACCACACATGGGCGCTGCTCAGCCCAGCCTACGGACTCACCTTGCATCTTAGCAGCTGCAATAACGTCACCGGCCGAGATGCTGGACACGTTGACCAGGTAGATGGGACAGTGAGTCTAAGGACGGGAAACACGGTGGGAAGGAGAGAGCATCAACCCCATAACCTAACAAGGACCAAGGTGACAGGACCAGCCCAGTCCTGGCCCCAGCGCCGCCCCCTGCATCGCTTAGCGCTCCCCTCAGGGTGGCGGTCTTCTGCTGGGAATACAGGGCTAGTGGCTGCAGGCTGGGGAACCCCACGAAACATGGAGGGGACAGGCAGCACCCAGCACCAGAGCCCAGCAGGGGGACATCAGGGCAAGATGTCAAGTGCTGAACCTCACATTTTCTACCAGCAACACCAGGACTATTTACAACTTGAAATGAGGGACTCTTAATTTCCTATTCATGAATGTGATGACCTAGAGACAGTTGTGTATTACATCCCATATCTAAAATGATGATATCTGCCATCTGAGGGCTGCTTTATCAGTAGACAGAATGTACCCTGGAGAAGAAACAATACACAAGAGGTTCAGGGCTCACAGTCTACACCAGACAGGACCGGTCTTGCAAATGGACACCTGGATTATAATACTGATTAGCTTTTCCTCTATCAAGCTGTGTGACCACGGTCCATGGCTTCACTTCTCTGGGCATGTGTTTGAACTAAGAAAACGAGGAGCTGCCCTTTTGTTATTCAGATCTTTCCTAATTCTGGGGTAAGTTTCCATCAGGAAGTAATTGATAGCATAACTATTGTTATGACAGTAAAACAATGTCCTTGTCCAGCTCCTGGACTTATAAAGGGCTAATGGGAAACTTTTCCCAAATGTTATTCTAATGCCTTCTTTGCCTATCAGATTAGGAGGATAGAGAATTTAGGGGCTGGCCTGACATTTGATGCGCTTGGCACAAGTTTCCTGACTAATTCTGAAACCAACTGGACCTCCAACCTCTGTGTTCCCCTGGCGTTCCTAACACCACATCCTCAGCTCACGGCCTTCAGGGTACCTAGGTCTTTCTGGAGAAGTTCTTAAGTGTTAGTGCCCATTAGGATCATTAGCGGGCTTGTTAAAACACAGGCTGCTGGGCGTCACCCCCAGTTTCTGATTCAGTGGGTCTGAACAGGCCTGAGCATTTGCCTTTCTGAGTTCCTATTTCTAACAAATGATGTTGATGCAGCTGGTCCAGAGACCACACTTAGAAAACTAGAGTTCAGATTATCTGAGCAAATAGAACACTTAATGATGGTTTAGGAGGAGAAAGGATCTTGGTACAGTGTTCTCCTGTTTTTAAAGTGCTTTGCCTTCCACGACTCCTTTGATCCTCACAACCGTCCTGTGAGGAGTGGGTGATATTATCATTCCAATTTTAGATAATAAAATAGTCTCTCAGAGTGGTTGATTGACTTGCGTGTGACTGGAAGCTTGTCTTTGGTCAAGGCCCCAAGCTGTGTGCTCATTCCCACCACCACACTGCATCAGCGCCCCCTTACCCTGAACCATACCAAGGAAAAATCATGAATGGCCCAGAGGCGGAGCTTCAAATCATGGTTCTCTAAGCAAACGTCTCTCTGCTCCTCTGCAAGGAACAGATTCCAGCTGCCATGAGGCTCTGTGGTCCCCACCTTGACCTGCCTCTGCTGGGAGGCATTTCCATTTGAGCAATGAACCAGGTCTCAGCAAACTCAGCAGGGTAGAATGGAGAGCCGATGGCAGGGAGGACTCCTGCCAGGTCTGTGGGAATAGCAACGGTGTCGTTCATTCAGCAAACGGCGTTCATTTGCGGTCCTGTGAGCCAGGCATGGGGCTGGCACCCAGAGCAGAATGAGACTCTACTGTACAGGCTGGGTTCTGACCCCAGAGTTGAGAATGGGCTGAGGGTGAGCTGGGGTCTACTTACCCTGTTTGCAATGGTGATAACTCGGTGAGTGGCTTCTGCCTCCACCTTTTAGAAACAGAGGACAGGAAGAAAACAAGCTTCACCATCTCCCCAAGCAAGCTTACATCTCCCTGACACCCCACCTTGTACGCAGAAAGTGCTGGAATGTCTGACTCAGAGCTGGAGTGACAAACAGCACCCACAGGGGCTGGCTTGGGGGGAAACCCTGGGCAGGGGCACCAAGCTCCAACCACCTCTGCTCACACTGAGAGAACCCCGGGACTTAGGGTTCTAGGTACGTCTTTGCTGGATGCTACTCAGGCCTTAATTAAAAGACAACAAAACAAGAACAAACGAAAACCTGCAGTCACATCTCTCCCTGGTTTCTGGTGCATTCTCTCCACAGCCATCTCAGAACTGTAACAGAGGAGTAATACTGATTGATTTCAAGCTGGAAATTAGCCTAGATCGGGATTCCTGAACCTCGGCACTAGTGGCATTTTGGGTGAGATAATTCTTTGTGGAAGGGGCTGAATAGACATTGCAGGCTCTTTGGCAGCATCCTTCACCTCTACCTAGTAGATGCCAGTAACATCCTCCCCCCAGGTTGGGATAACCCAAAATATCTCTGGACATTGCCAAATGTCCCTGGGGAGCAAAACCTCCTTAGATGCTCCCCTTTAATCAGTAGATGGTGAAGGTGGTATTCTTGCTATTTCTGCCACTACAGTCAGCACCACGCTCTTCCCCTTATAGAACTCCACAAAGTCCAGTCCTGTGCGCATCCCCCCACCCCTCTTCTCACAGGCACTCTCAGTGCCTTGTTGCAGCTGGTGTGTCTTTCTCTATCAACTCTGAGGTGCCCAAACAGGAGCTACATTCAAGCGCTCTGGCAGACAGAGACAAACAAACCCAAGGCAGGAGTAAGGTGGGACCCCCGCCCACACCAGGCTGACCCACTGTAGGCTGACTTGGTTCCTGTCTGATGACAGAACCATTACATCCTGTCTCCAGCTCCTCGTCCCCCAAGGCCTCCCCATCAGTCCCTCATGGACATCCAACCACCACTCTGCATTTAAGGCCTTGAAGAAATGGAAAATAGCTCTCCCCTCACCACCGGTAAGGCATGTCCGAACAGGGTCATAGGGCAAGAACACATTATTTATCTAATGTGATCCTCCAGAGCCGAATTCTTCAGCAAGGGGGACCTGGGGGCATTTGTGTCGACACCCTGCAAAACTGTGCAAGGATAAAACCAGAGGGCCGAGGGAGAGCAGGGCTTAGTCACCATCTCAGCAATGAATAGGAAAAGGGGGAAAGAGCACAGACACGCATGTGCCTCTCGTTTCTGGTGGGAAGGGTCCAAAGTCTTCCACAGATGCTCAAAGGGATCTCAGCCCCAAAAAGCCAATTCACTGGCTTATCATCTGGAATTTCTTCTAACATCTAAAGGCCCTTTCAGTCTGTCTTTTCTCTCCCGATTCAACTTTGGCCAAAGCAACCCCTGGCATGTTCACATGGCCTCGCTCAGACCCTTGAAATCAGCCCCCAATGAGGTGGGTCTGTTTCCCCAAAGTTGTCTTCCCCAAGGAAGCTGAAGGGCAGGTCGGCTGTAGCATATGGAGGAAGCTGTTCCCTGGGAAGCTTCCAGATGGGAATTTCACCCATGAAGAAAGCAATACCATACAACTCGTATTTACTGATGACTCTTCTATCCTAAAGGTTCTGTGAATCTATAGGAAAGATGATGACAAAGAACACGGATATCTTCCTCACCTCCTCTGGACGGCTGATCTCAATTCCTTCTGGGCCTGTGATACCCAAATCTAGTGCCTCCTTTGCACCCTGAATAAGAGCAAAAGAAAGAAAATTGAGAGAATCATAGAGATACAAAAAATACTGAACCCGAGGGACAGTAAAATATGCTCAGCACAGCCCATTCCAACAGGTTTGCTGCTTTTCTCACTTCTGTAAGACTCATCTTATAAAGAGGGCAGGATTAGTACAGGGATCCCCTGAGTCTCACTTCATAATGATTGCAAATATCTTTTCCTCTTAAAAATACAGTTCAGTCACCAGCCAACAGGCTTGGGACACTAAAGACAAACACCGTTTATTGATCTGCAAATCAGAATTTCCTCGCTGGAAATCTAGTTAAATCTCCAGCTTCCACAGATGCCTAGATTAACCTTTACCCCAAGTATCCTACTTAAGACCCAGCAGTACAAAGGGGCTTGTCTGTCTTGGTACCAGTGAGAAGATCTCTATAATACCTCAGGTCCGCTGAGGAGGTACAGGAAAGTGGAATGTTGACCCTTAGTTATTCTGTACGTCACATCTCATTAAAATTATTTCTTAGAGTGCTCCAAATTCCTCTGTGATAATGGAATTTAAGTATCGTATTTGAATGAAGACATCATCATCCAAGATTTAGAAACCCTTTTGGACTATACAGAGAGATTTGTTTTTTACGGACACTAGAAAAGTTTGGATTTTCGGACAAAGATCTGTCATCTGGGCTGTTAACATCTCACACTTTCTTTTATAATTTGTTTTATCTGAACCCTGTAGAGAGGGTCATGGGTGGTCAGGAATCCCCCAGAGAACTGTCTCAATCGGTGCTCCCCCAACTTCCCCCAACATTCTCTACTGCCTTGCCTCGGCCACGAGCTCCCCATTTTCAGCATGGACCCGGGCGATCGCCCCAATATCCTTGCAAGCGTGCAACACTTGGTACAGTTCGCTGTCCCGAAGCATATACAAGTCCTTGTAGGTCATGAACATCTGGAACGAGTTGACACCCTTCTCCCTCACCAGCGTCTCCATTTCTGCTTTCACCTGGAGAGCAGAACGCAAAGGCAATGCCACGTGAGTACAGAGGGCCAAGAGGTTGACTGGCAGACGCTGGCCCAGCGAGGAGAGGTGGCTCTGTCGCCACATGACCACCCGCAACCTTGCAGTATCTCGCGCTCCTCTCACCCCACGGGCTGCTGTGAGGTCACATGAGCAAATGGATGCGGAAGTGTTTTGAAAATTGTCCAGCGTGACACAAATATAGAAATGAGATCTGGGCATGTTTCTCCTATCACATAAGCTTGTCCTGTGTTTCTGCCTCCAAATCAGCCTTATTGGTAAATGCACTAATGACTTTTACACCTGTGGCCAGTTCCCTCCGCCCCCATAATCTGTTATGAGAAGAGAAGGCGTACTAATGCTAAAAATCCAGAGACCCGGGGAAAATCTAACTTAGGGGCAAAGCCAAACACAAAGCAAAGCTATGTGAATAAGGAGATTCATCCCAACATTATTTATACTATAGGAAAAAATGGAAGAAACATTGGTCCAACAATAGGAAAATAAATTGTGATTCATCTACTTGACAGAACGTTAGGTGGCCGTGGCATTGATGGTCATGAAGACCATGCAGCCAGATGGAAAATGCTCACACTTAAGCGAAAGAGTTACTATGTACAAAGACCAGAAGGAAATAAGCTAAAATAACAAGAGTGATTGTGTTGGGGTGACTGAATTATGTGCTTCCTTTCTTTTCTATTTTTAAAATCTGTAATTAGAAAAAAAAATTGGTTATTATAAAAAAGAATTCAAAATTCTAGATGCATGAAAATCCCCACAACCTTTGGGGACTTAGGGATAGCTGACTTGGCCTCAGTGTTGCTGGGAATCTGAGCAGACCCTCTCTATTCCAGGCCACTGGAGGAGGGAAGCGAGAGAGGCTCAGGGTAGGTGTCGCCCATCCAGGAGGGTGTCTGAAGTGGACAAAACTTCCATCTGAGATAGAGGATGGCTAACATTCAGTGTGGTCTGCACCTTTTACCCGGTACCAGGAGGGGGGTCTTCATGTGTGAGTTTGGGGGGTTCCAAGGCCTTTCATAAGCACTGGTTTGGATATAATGGAAGAGAGTGTGTAAGCCCCACGCTCAAGGCTTGTACCCGAGGGCAGAAGCACAGCCAGGCTTTTAAGTCACTGTCTCCGAAGGGAGTCAGGCCCTCTAGATCAGGATCCACAGCTGGAGAGCTTTGTAAAATCTCTTAATGCTTATTTATTTTTAAGATTCCAGGGCACCCACTCAAGTACTGACTGGCACATGGTGATTAATGAGCACTTGATGAAAGAATGAATATCCAGGTTGCTTCCCTGGGGTAATAAGCAGTAATACTCCAGAAGTGAAGCAAAATCTAAATGCCTGTATATCTGTATTCAGGAAGAACGAGGAAGAGGGAATTGGGGAGCAGGGACTGGACCCTGGCCCTGGGGCCTGGGCAACAGGAGGCCAGGAAAGCCAGGGGCACAGAGGCTGAACTGAGAAAGGGCCCAGTGGGAGCCACACACCAGGAGCAAACTCAGGGTACCCAGAGCAGGAGCTGGGGCCCAGCAGGAAAGAAGCACCCCAATCCATTCTTACGAGGTGGCACTGAGCCAGGATGGGACCCTCCATTCTGAGACCTCAGTGCTGTTACCTTGGGTGCCCACCAGGGGATCCCCACATGGAGCGCGTAGTCACAGCAGACCTTGGGGTCAGCCAGACCCCGGCACTTCTCGTAGGCATCCACAAGGGAGGTCTCCTTGTCAGGCAGGACATGGCCGATGATCATGGTGGTACCTCCAACTAGTGCTGCCTGAGGGAGACGGGAAAAGCAATCTCGTCACATCTCTACCCGCACCCAGGTCGCTGACGTGGGGACACTGGGTCCTCAGGTGGACCTTCAGGACAGCCACAGACTCTCCCACACAAGAGGCTGGGAGGCCCAAGTGCAGCAACGTTTGGGAAAATGTAAAGAGCTGTCAACACAGGAGCCAGGGTGTAATCTTCATCATTACTGTGGATCCAACACACAAACCTGCTTCTTCCTTATCTTGGGCTGCAGCTCAGTGCTTGGGAAAAACGACTTAGTGCCTGTATTTCCAAATGAGAAGATTCCCCCCAGACAATTTCTGACCAACTTGAATATACAGATGATGTATCAAATGTCTACCATAATGTAATATAAGTCTGTTTATAATATTATTTTAGTTACACATATATATGTAAACCATAGTAAAATGTTAATTTGACTATATTATTTTGTTTTATTCGCTCACATTTCAGGAAACAATTCTATTCAAAGTTTTTATAGGCATCTTCACATCAGGGTCTTTGTCTTCAGTTTTTCCAAGAACATTAACTTCGTTTCCATCTGTCTTGTTTGAGATAGAGCATTTTAGGTCCCCGTACGATCTATCAGTGAAAAAATGATCCTATCCACAATCTCCACGAGATACCACTTAACAAGAAATCTTTAAAAGGTCTCATTTGCAATCACAAACAATGCTCCCAGGAATAATTATTAAATCTGTATTAAAGGTCTGCCCCCACGTACTTTTTTGAAAACCAGTTTGGTCAGGTGACCTCCATGAGCTTCCTAAACTAGCAATGACCAAAGGTTATTCCAGGCTAATGGGTTGTTCTCCAAAAAAACTTTATTAAAATAAAAATTGAGACAGGCCCCAGAATATGTGAAACTTTATGAGGGCTTTAATATAAGTGACTCTCTTTTCCTGATGAATTAAAATTTGGACAAAACCTACTCTTTTATTTGGATCCTTACAGTGACTAGAATCAGCTCCAAGTTCAAGTCCCTGCTATGCCACCTCCCAGTTGGATAACCTCAGCCCAGTTACTTGACCTCTGTGATGCAAGAGGTCAAGTATGTTTTTTCTCTTTTCTTCCTTTTGCTTTAAAAATTTTTCATTTATTTATTTTTTAAATATTCTGTTACAGAGTCTTTTCCTATACCATGGGACCAGCTTCCTTGCTGGAGAGCGGTGAAAGTCAAGAGAATCATCACTTGGTAAAGTTTTGTCCTAATATGTGTGTTTAATTATTCAGAGTTTAGTTGTTTATCTCTGTTTTCTGTATGGGAGGAAAACAGCACAATGAAACTGTCTTGACGATTTCATGCTTCTCTAGTCAGTTAAATCATTGATCACGAATCAGAAATATTGCTGGAGAATAAGGGACTGAAAAAAAAATTAGTTCAGCAGCCCAGCAACAATTACAATGAAAGCTCTTGCAACACCGATTTTCCATGCTGACCCTGGCTGGGCGGGTGAGACTAGTCCCCTTGTTGTCCTGGGAAACGCAGGGGCCTGACTTCTTGCATAGCTTAAAGCAACCAACAGAGGGTGCAAGTTCTGAGGTTCACACGCAGGAATTGTGATGTGGGAGATGGAGAGAAGGGGAAGAGCAGCAGATTGTAGCCTTACTAGCTGGCTTCTATTTCTGATTTTGCTGGATTGTGCCAGAATGATTCACCCTCGTAGCAGGTGGTTGTACTCTATTTTGTCCTGAAATGCATTTCTTGCTTTTGTGTGGACACGGGGGTGTCTGGTATATTGGGATGTTACACACTAAATTGTCTTACTTCTTCTGTGGTTCTAGAATGTTTTCCTTTGCACTCCCTCATCTGTCTGTAGACTTGCATAGAAAAAAAAGGGAACATGGAGACAGCACAGTGGAATAAGACAGCCAAGACCGTTCTTGGCATCTGTGGGCTTCTGAGAGTAGAAAAGGAGGTCTACCTGCTGAATCTCTAGTTAAAAGTTACAGGTCAAGCTAACAAACTGTTAACACAGAGTATATTCTGTTCTCCTACTCTAACAGATATATGTTCATAATGACTCAGAAGGCCAGGCTTGAGTTCAGAATTCTCAGAATGCTTGCAGTTCTGAGCTACACTCTAGGGGGTGTTGGCCTTCAGCCTCTGCGTATGCCTCTAGCCCATACTCTCCAACTCCGGTTATGTGTCCTGCAGCCCGTGGATCTAAGCTCTGCTCACTCCTGCAAGATGCCACTCTGGGGCTAGGCGTGCACAGAGTGGTGGTCTGGCCCCCAGAAGGACAGATTCAGGCTAATGTAGGCCCTGGCAGTGCTCAGGCCCTTTGTCAGGGGATTCCAGGGCCCCAGAGTGTGGTCCAGGATTGGGACAGTGGGCTCTGGGCAGACGTGGGGGAGTTGCCTGTAGTCCAGAGCCCATGGCAGAGACTCCTCTTGCCTGGGTCCGAGGATAGTAACTGAAAAGCATTCTGAATGGAGTCAGAAGCATCCGGCAGAGGTCCTGACTTTCCCAATTGCTGGTTGTAATCCTGTGTGCCTGCTCTGCTCTGCACTTCACCGCTGTGGGCCCACAGCAGCTCAGGTGGCAGTGGATGTGAGAACCTCTATAAGCTGGGAAGGGGCATATAAATATCTGGAAAAATCATTACTGCTGTTACCCCAGGCCTCAAAGCAAAAGTTTAATGGGATCAGTAAACACTTTCCCAGCTGTGGGTTCGGGATTCCAGACCAGATGCTGGATGCACTAGTGCTGGTTTCCTCCCAGGCAAGATGCACACAGAGCTGGCTTCTAAAATATGCACAGTTCCCACCCACGGGATGAATGCCGACAAGCTCAGTCTCCGCGGGAATGTGATATCACAGATGTGACAGACCTTTTTACTGTCATTCCACACAAAACAGCCTTGTACAAATCAACAGCAGAGCATGATGCAATCCTGTTCCGGAGGCTTTCAAAAGGATTATATTTACGATAATCAAAAGGAAAGGTGACTGTGTGACTGCTGAATGTTCATAACTGTCTTTAGGCAAGAAAAGTAAACTGTGAAAGATCTTAAGAATCAATAGAAATGATGTTCATGGAGGCTAAGTCTTCACATGGAACAAGGGTGATGCTATAACGAGTGAAAAAAACAGAATTCAACAAGCGTACCCAAGATACTTAGAAGTATGTTTAAACACACACACACCCACACAAAGAAAAAAAAAAATAGAAGGAAATATACCAAAACATTAACAATGACTGGTTTGGGATGATGAGATTCTGAGTAATTTATTTTTTCTAATTTTCTGAAATTTATTTCATAGAATATATTACTTTCATAATACTGTATACATAAAAAAATTAATTTGGAGGAAACTAAAACTACTTAAAATTTAGTTAACCATGTTTATGTATTTAAAATACTTTCTTTTAAAGTTATGTATGAAACATTTCAACCATACAGTAAAAGTACAGAACATAATACAACACATACCCATGAACCCACTACTCAAATTTAACAGATGTTAGCTTTTTACTGTATTTATCTGACATGTTTTTTAATTAAAAAAATGAAAGAAAATATTTCCAATACAACTGGAGCCCTCCATCCTATTCCCATCCCTTAACCCTGAGGTTGATATAAATTTCTCCCATCCATGTTTTTATCCTTTTTCTATATTTGTTTCGCAAATCTGAAAAATGTACACAAGTGGTATTATACTGCCCATGTCCTTTTGCAACTTGCTTTTTTTATTTGACAGAATTAAGATTCATTTATGGAGACAGACACGACCATGGAACAGCTAACACACTAGGGCCTACTGGAGCCTGGTGGCTGACTGAACTGGCCATTTATCAACCCAGGCCCTTATTTTTTGACATAAACTACTGTCCAGCCAAGCATTCCCCACTGTGTATGTGGCATTCATTTCTATTGTGAACGTGAGACTTCACATCTCTCACTGTTAAGTTAATACGGACTTTAGGACCATTTGTTTAACCAACAGACGCAGCAGCATCATACACATTTGGCAGGATATGAAACATAATTTTACTATTTCAAAGGGTTACCATTATTTTGTTTTTGATATTTATGACATACCGCTGGGTAAATCTGGGTTTATTTGATGCCCAGTCATGTCACGTCCACTTGTTCCCTAAGGAAAACCAGTATTCTTTTTTTTTTTAACATCTTTATTGGTGTATAATTGCTTTACAATGGTATGTTAGTTTCTGCTGTATAATAAAGTGAATCAGCTATATGTATACATATATCCTCATATCCCTTCCCTCTTGCGTCTCCCTCCCACCCTATCTCACCCCTCTAGGGGGACACAAAGCACCGAGCTGATCTCCCTATGCTATGCAGATGCTTCCCACTAGCTAGCTATTTTACATTTAAAACCAATATTCTTAATGGTAATCCATTTTATGTCACAGTTTCCAGGCATACGCTTGGCAGTAACTTGTACTGAACTCAACCTAAACCTGTTATTATAAATGTCATCTTTATGCTTCAGAAGTTATCAGACCACTGTGGGCACATGGGGGTCTCCGTATTGACCAGGGACCTGCTCAGCAAGTTGGAAAGAAATTTCAGATATAATTTATTTGCTGACATCCCAGCGTTGGAAAGAACAGTGCATTGGCCCTTCCTGGTTTTGTCAGGACAAAGATCTTTGGAGAGTCATTCTCTACCATCTTCTATGTTGCTGCGGCTCTAATCACGTTTTGCTGCGGCTCTAATCACGTTTTAGCAATGTTTTTTTCTCTACCCCTCCACACTGCCCCGCAAAGGGAAAGGCTTGGTTCTCTGGCTCCAAGGCCAAGAACCAATAGGTCAAGGCACAAACTCTGTACCCTGTTGTTGAGAAGGCACTTGGGCCAGAGCTCATCTGTGGGGTTTTTCATTAGGGGTGGCGTAGGGACTTCCTGTGAACATATTTTCACACTAGTGCTCAAAAAATGGGTGTGTTTGTGGGGAGGTGATTGGAATCATAATAGCAGGGTCTGGAGTATCTAGATGTACAGATTAAGGG